GCTCAGGGAGAGGGTGCCATGTGTATGCTCAGAAATGCACGTGGCCACCAGGCAGCTTGGAGAGCAGCTCCCGCAGGCAAGTTGGAGGGGAGGCGGAGGGAATTGAGGCCCCCATAGGGGGGGAGGGAGTTGAGCTGGGGCTGCTTCCCAGTCCAGGTGGTATTTGGGACTTGGAGCCATACGCAGCTGCAAGGCCCTAGCGGGGAGCAGGACGGAGCCATAGGTGGCTCATTGGGTGGCAGGGGCTGGGGCTGGCTTCCCGCTGCTGTGTGCCCTTCCAAGGGGGCAGGGGGAGACAGGTGCTCCCCAGATCTGTGTGTGGGGTTGGTGAGGGGACGGGTGGGCTGCCCAATGCAGGCTTAGGCTCCCTGCCCTGCTGCCTTCCTCCCTCCAGGGTCTCTGCAGCCCAGCGGGTGGGACTTGGCATGGCAAGGCAAAGTGGGGCTGGGCGGGGAAGCACTTTGCTACTGCAAGTCCTGTACCACGCTGGCAAAGCACCCCTTACCTGCCTGGCAGCAGCGAGGGGCACAACCCTGCGCTGATGCCCCTGCTGCTGCAGGGTGCCACAGGGCTTTTAGCAGCAAGGAGCTTCCCTGCCCAGTCCCATTCTGCCCTGTTGTGCCCAGTCCTGTCTGCTGGGCTGCGGAGGCCCTTGCGGGGAGGGCAGTAGGGTGGGGAGCCTGAGCCCACAGTGGACCACCCCCGCTTCACCTCCCCTGGGCTCCACTCCAGCCATGCTGCCAGTAGGGGAAAGGGAATTGGGACACACGCTCTGCTTTGCCACAGCAGCTGTTGCCTCCCATGTGCGGCAGCTGGGGCACAGATGCTGCTGTGGGGAGCAGGAGGCTGCAGACCCAGGTCTCTGGCCCTGTAGCCCTGTGCCCCCTCTGGCAGGTCTGGGGAGAGGGCCGTGGGTGGGGAGTGAGGGGCATCCTGGTGAGCAAAGGGGGCAGGGGGAGCTCTGATTTTCCATAATGAAAAATCCAAATTCAAACACCAAAATTTATAGGTACTTCAAATTTATTGTATTATAGTGATTGAGGCACTGGTAGGCTTTGAAATTGCTTTCAAATTGTAAATATATCAATAAAAAAATGTGTTCAATTGATACACACACGTAGCTGTGTTTCATTTTAATCATGGATTTGGGTTTTTTTTAATCAGAGAATTTGCAATTTTTAAGCAGAAAAAAACAGGATCCCTGGTAATCAGTACCTGAAGAGCTTGAAGTGTAAACTAATGGGAGTACTCAGCTGAGTCTGGGCATGAGTACTGGCCAGAGATATTATCTGTATAAAGAAAGAGAGTGACAACTCGGGCTTACAAGAAAAAATTCTGATTTTAACTTTAAGTGTGTTAGGAAAGTACAGGTTGGAATCAGAGCCAGAGATACAAGCAAATAGTATCTTTCACCTCTTCCCTTTTTCTTGAGTTTTCCTTCCCGGTAAGTTTTCTGCGTCATTCAGTCCGTGCTTAAGTCCATTTGTGTTCAGGGCAACATTTCACTTATGGATGTGCTAAAGTGTTGTGCTGAATAAGGATGGTTTCCTGAAGCAGAGCTTAAATGCTATTTTTATGATTGCTCTGAGGCAATCTACTGCCTCAACTATCAAAATTGGCAAGTAGAATTATTGACATTTTGTTGGCAACCTCATTCCAGTTAATGCTGATGCTGAATAGACTTTATGCAAGCTGACCATGAAAGAGACAGAAATGAGCTTGTGTTTGCTGTTTTGCTAGCTGTCTGTAGAATAAAACAGGTGCTGTGATGGTATGTAATACTTTGTATTGTAATGCTTCTTCTTCGTAAATCTTAGAGAAGTCATGAATACTTGACATGTTTCATTTTTGGATCTGTATACAAGGGGAAATATGCAATTTTTGGAGGAAGATGTAAAATTTTGCTTCTTTCAACGCTTCAGAAGAGAACAAAGAACTTCTGAGGTGGCCCTTTTAACGAGAGCAAGTGGAAGAGCTCAGCTTTCCACTTACAAATTATGATGTCTCATATGGGTGTAGACAGCCTCCTCCATATTCTACACTTTCATTTGTGAAACCAGATTAGTTTTCCTATGTATATATTCCAGAAGTCCCACCTCAGGAAGGAAAATGTCTGAGTTTTTATGTTCACATGTTCTGTGGAAATAAAAGAACTGGAGCTCAAAATAGTACTTGTGGTCTAAATCACAATGGACCTTCATTTCTGAAGAGGTCTCTCAAATTATAGTGCCCCTCTTGTTTCTGAGAAAATTATTGCTCTGAATCCTTACGAGAAAAGCATCGTTGGGAATTTTGACAAAGGGTGATGTGTTCTGTATTGTCTAGAATTATGCACACACACGACATCCGATCTGCTATTTCATACAGTGTTGTCAAGAGGGGAGGGGAGAGGTTGTTCATTTTTCTATATCTGACATTTTTCAAATTAGAGAATTATGAGCTGTAGCTAGTACCAAGCATAGCCCAAGCTAACGCAGCAATGGCAACTTTCTCTTGTGTTGCACTGCTAATTCTTTTCAGTCTTGGCATACTGAAAGCACCTATTGCTGTCTAGGTCTGTGCCCCCTATTGACCAGAGAGGGCATGTCTAAATCAAAGGATTAATATTTATAATTAGAGTGAAGCCCTTAATCAGTACTGCAGCCTTTCGTAGGAAAAGGGGTGGCTCTGAACAGAATTATTTTTTCTGTTGGCCCAAGCTGACTGGTTCTGGGCTCTCCAGAACCAGCTAGAGGCCCAGCTTGGTTTGATGGTTAAATAATTTACTTGCACAGAAAGTTATAAACACATCTGGTTATTATTATTATTATTAAACATTAACAATTACAACATTATGTACAGATATTTACAGAGAGATGGGGAAAGAAAGGGGAACAAACTGATGAGAGAGGGTGATACTTTATCAGACGTGTTGTCAGAGCAGTTAGGATCTCTGTCAGAGTAGTCCCCTCCAGGCAACCAAAGTGACAATTCAGGCTCTCCCACTCGCACACAGTTACTAACTCTCTTACTGCCACAAAATCTAGACATGTCTACAACAAGCGCTGACAGGACAAAAAGAAACAAAAATATGAACACCACAAACATCCAAACACCAAGACTAACTGGTGTACACACATACATGTGAGCCAAACAAGGGCCACTCACAAATCCAGAAACAAAAGCTTAAAACAAAAAAGAGCCTCGTTGCTCGGTTTAGAGAAGGTTTTCGCTCAATCTTTCCTCAGTCACACATCAACACAATTCCCACAGAACCAGCACCAAGCATTTCACAAAAAAATCCACAAATCCCCCCAGAGCACGGGTCCAGTTCCCTTTTGAGCTTGACCAGTCACCGCACTCACTCTAGCCAATCAGAATTCTTTCACACTTATCATCAATCATCTTGTCAGTCATTCAGTCGATACATTATTTTTGTATCAGCTGGTCAGCATGCATATCACCTCACAGGGTGAAAAACACCTTTTCCCACAAAACACTCACTTCTGGCATGCTCACTACATTCTCACTTCAGTGAGCATGTATGTAGCCAGCAGGCTGAGAACTTAAAATTTATTACACCCTTGAAGATTGAAAAGTTCATCCCTTCTCGAAGATTCTTAAGTTCAAACAACTGCACATGCTTCATCACTCAAATTCAACTCTGTATGTGTAACTAACAACAACAAGCCATAATGAAAACCAAAGTTCACCCCATATAACTTTGTCTGTTTTTACAGTACCATCTCCTGCTTCAGCTCTGGACACATTCTGAGTAGAGATGGTCCATATTTTGGTGCACTGTATCTATTAAAGTTTTATTAAAAGGCCAAGCTGAAGTCATCAAGCACTTCATCACTGTGACCTGAACTCAGATATCAGTCTAGGTCTCTGAAAATTAATTTATTAACAAATTGATACGCTACCTATTCTATCTTACCGTAAGAAGGCCTTGGTACAGAACAGTTACGGTGTCATCTACACCATAAATTAGAGTTGTGTTATAACTAGGTTCAAGTATAACTGTATTGTGACCAAATGTCTTGACTTAGTTATAACTGAAGTGTAGGAAAAGCCTCAGTTTCTCAGCCTTCCCTTAGTTGCCCTATTCCTGGTTGAAACTCTGAGTTCCTGGTTCTTAAAGGGTTTTGACAAGATGTGTAATTCAGTCACTATGAGGAACTGAAAATTTGCCTTTAGGTTGTTCACATCACTTGTGGAAATGTAACATTTTTTTGAATTTTATTACTTAAAAATTTGATTTGCGGAGTGAACTGTAATGTGCTAAGGTTACGGTTGGGTAATAAATTATCACCTGACAACTATTAATGAAACACACTGTTTATATGATAATTTGATTCATCTGTGGTCACTGGCAGAGACCTGAAAACTGCTCCACTTCCCCCTTCATAACTATGAACTATCAGTTAAGTATCAGTCAGTGACCAAAATTAAAAACATGAGCTAACAAGTAGGAATTAGTCAGCTAAAACCCCCGTGGCTTGACCATTTGGATCATGCAGTCAGAATGCCAGAAGAGGTTTAATCTTTTCCTCTACACAGGAAGACACAGATCAGGTATATCACTTAAATGTGTCACACTAAATGAATAGCGCTACCTTATTTACTCGAATCTAAGATGTCCCCCTGATTAGATTCTGTATATGGTAAAATGTATACATTTGTTATAATTTTACAGGAGTAGAATCTAAGCATCAAATCGTCGTTTGGAGTCATTTGACCCCAGTAATCTTTCCTGCCATGGCAGGGGGTCGGACTAGATGATCTACTCGGGTCCCTTCCGACCCTAGAAACTATGAAATAGTTGTCTTGAATTCAACCCCTCCTCCCCCGCTGTACTGTTTTAGCAGGGAAAGCAGTGGCTAGGGGATTAGACACCAGCCTTCCCCCCTCACCCCCCAACCCCTGCCACTTTGTATGCAGATCTAAGATGAGACTTTCTGCCTCTGGATACATTTTGATTTTTTTTTTTTTTTTTAAATGCCTGTCCTTTCTTTCAGATAGGAATATGAACATTCTGCAGTACTGTCCCATCTCGGACTCCTGGACCAACTTTGAACTGTGTGAAGTCCATGTTCGCAAACAACAGATGCTCTCTGTTGAGGAAACCATATACTTGGTAGGAGGTTGTATTCATGAACTGGGACCAAATCAAAAATCCAGCCAAAGCGAAGACATGTTAACGGTGCAGTCTTACAACATTGCCACCAGAGAATGGCTCTGCCTCAAGGAGAACACATCAAAATCAGGTCTTAACTTGACTTGTACTCTCCATAATGATGGGATCTACATAATGAGCAGAGACATTAATTTCTCCACAAGCTTGGAGCACCGGGTTTTTCTTAAGTATAATATATTTACAGACAGCTGGGAGTCACTTAGACGCTTTCCAGCCTTTGGGCAAAATATGTTGATCTGCTCTGTGTATTTGCCCAGTGTGATAGACGTGTAATTACATCAAGATTGTGTCAGTTTTTCGGGGGGAGGGGTTTGACTCCGTAACCATTTGTGGAACAACTATTGCTCTAAATCATTACCATTTACAAATGAAACATGGTTGCATAGCCTGGGCATAAAATACTGGTTCTATTTAGTGCAAAAGCCAGCACTAATGGAAAGGCTTCCAAGGTTTTGCAGGATTTCAGTTTAAAAGAATTTTAAAATGTAAAGACAGTATTTGGCATCTAAACACACAGATTCATAGATCTAGGGTCAGAAGGGACCTTGTAGGTTTTCTAGTCCAACCCCCTGCCGTGGGCAGGAGAGAAAACTGGGCTCAAATGACCCCAGCCAAGTAAACATCAAGCCTCCTCTTAAAGACCCCCAGGGTAGGAGCCATCACCACTTCCCTTGGAAGTTGGTTCCAGGTACTAGCCACCCTGACTGTGAAGTAGTGCCTTCTAATGTCTAGTCTAAACCTACTTTCTAGCAACTTATGGCGGTTATTCCTTGTTACTCCGGGAGGCACTCTCCTCATAGGGTCTGCCCTTCTGTCCCCGGGTCATGCGAGTGGCCCTCCTCTGGACCCTCTCAACGCTTCAATGCTGTCCACATCCCTCCTGAAGTGCGGCACCCAAAACTGGACACAGTACTCCAGCTGCAGCCTGACTAGTGTCGCGTGGAGGGGGAGGATCACCTCCTTGGCCCTGCTTGTGATGCATCTGTAGATGCACAACCAGGTACTACTGACCTACTGCCCTACTGACCGTGTTCTTGCATTGTCATCCTGTGTTCATCTTGGAGTCAGTAATGACTCCAAGATCTCTTTCTGCCACCATGCTTTCGAGAAGGGAGTTCCCCAGCCTATAGGTATGTTGCTGGTTCCGACTGCCCAAGTGCAGCACCCTGCATTTATCAGTATTGAATCCCATCCTATTTTCATTTGCCCACCCCTGTAACCTGTCCAGGTCCTGCTGTAATCTGTTCTTCCCTTCTAGTGTGCCCACCTCACCCCAAATCTTGGTGTCGTCTGCAAATTTAAACAGGCTGCTCTTCACCCCATGGTCCAAGTCACTAATAAATTGAACAGTGCGGGCCCAAAGACTGAGCCCTGAGGGACCCCACTGCCCACTTCCCTCCAGGTCAAAAATGACCCGTCCACCACCACTCTCTGAGTGCGACCCCTCAGCCAATTTGCAACTCATCTGACTGTGTAGGCATCAATGTCACAGTCACCTAGTTTTTTAAATGAGAACGGGGTGGGAAACAGTGTCAAAGGCCTTCCTGAAGTCCAGAAAGACTACATCCACCGTGACACCTGCATCCAGTGATTTTTGTGACCTGATCGTAGAAGGCAATCAGGTTGGTCTGACAGGACCTGCCCCTAATGAAACCATGCTGGTTGCCCTTGAGCACCATCCCTGCTGCTGGCCCATCACAGATGTGCTCCTTGATAATCTTCTCAAAGAGCTTCCCCAGGAATGAAGTAAGACTAATGGGCCTAGAGTTGCCCTCGTCCATCCTCTTCCCTTTTTTAAAGACGGGGACCACATTGGCCCTCTTCCAGTCGTCCAGCATCTGGCCAGAGCACCACAAGTGTTCATAACGCTGTGCCAGGGGCCCCACGATAACCCTTGCCAATTCCCTCAACCCCCCGGGGTGGAGAGCATCTGGACATGCTGATTTGAACACATCCAGCCCCTCCAGAAGTTCTCTAACCCGGTCCTCCCTGACCCTAGGCTTGGTGGAGTTTCTCCTGAGTTTGTCCTGAATCTCGGTAGGGGAGTCCCGGTCCCTGCACAAGAAACTAGAATACAAAACAAAGGCATTGCATTGGTATGTCAATATAAGAACTCCAATGTGAAAGCTCATTGGTCTAGTTTTATACCCTCTTTCACTGAAATTCTTAAGGTAAACAAGCTACACATGGTTAAAGCAAAGGTAGGTTTAAGATTATTTCTTTTAATAATCTGAGAGGCATCAAAGGTAAGGAATTCTTTTTAAATGCAGCTTTTATTCTGCAGTGCCCTGTGACAAGCACAAATTATTTGTTCTCTAGCATTATTATCTCTCGTATAATTGTGGGAGAGGGGATTTTTGAGGTTCCGAATGACAGCAGGGCACCAAGTGTAAATTTGAAAATCTTGTTCTTTGTTTCTAATGAAATACTTTTGCAGGAGCTGAGAGGATTTGCGTGAAGATTTAAGACTGCTGCCTGGATATTGTTAACAGTTTACATTAAAGGAATGTACTTTTTTGCTTGGCATTTAAAAACAATGTTGCTAGAGGCAGCAGTAAATTCCAAATAGGAGGAGCCTGTTAATTGGTTGAAGGGTTTTTTTTAAATATATGTTTTATTTCTTTAGTTTTCTTTTCTAATATCCAGATGATTTAAGGTTACATTAGAGATATTGGAGACCAAGTCTTGGTGGCAGGCTGCCTGGCAGTGAAACGCACAGAAATCCTCCTTGGTAAAGCAATCAAGTTCTCTGTTAAGCCAACCACTGCTGAGGAGGTCCAGGGCAGTTTGAGTGGAGGGGTGTAAATGAGCATCCAGAGCAGTTTTGCCTGGATCTTAGTCCTTTTTTCTCCCACCAGTTGAGGTACCATGGGTTACTCCAGCCTGTGGCTTTATAATAGGCCATTTACTTACTCAGAGAAAAGGGGCAGGCAGGACTGAGACATTTCATGTCTGTTGGTGAGGATTGGTACACAGCAAATCTCTTCCTTTCTTCCCAGATCTCCCTAACTGCTGGAGATAATCTTTAGTATGATGGGACTCTTCTTCCTCTATAGATAATAAATCCATAAGAGTCTGCTTACTGTATTTCTCTGGGAGAATCTGACATACTTTACTGAAAAAGGATTGAGTAGTCTTGAATCTGACACCACTGCTTTTAGGGAAGACCCAGCTTACTTCAAGAGTTTTGTAGGCATCTACAGAACTCAGTCCACAACTTCCTTCCATGCTGCAGGTACTGTTTCCATATTCAAGTATGTAGAAGGGCATAAGAAAATGGAGTTTAAGATTTTTCCTTGCAGTGAATCAACATAAGCCTGTTTTTGATGTGGAGAATATTTGCCTGCAAGTCTTAAGCTGATTTGTAAGTACTTGTTCTAGTGCCTGGTGCCTACTTGTGTGCACAAACATTGTGAGTACAGTTGTGTCCAGTTACATCCATTTATGCTGTGGAAAATATGCCCCATTAAGCAGCTGCCTTGAATATGAGCATCAGACTAGGTTACCTTGACTGCCACGTAGAAACCAGTTGACTTTCACATAATTTCTATCATACTTTTAAAATGCCTAGTTTCAGGAGTGTTTTGGGATACATATAAAGAGTAGGCCATTATCATATGATAAATTTTTGCGTGGTCATATGGGTATTATTTTGTTACTTGTTTTCCTTCTTTTCAACACTAGATCCACCATCCCCTCAGCTTCATTTTAATGGTACCCCAGGTCACAAACAGAACAATATATGTAGACATCTCTTCACAGTTGAGTGATAAATCTACCTGGTGACATATGCACTGAATTAACCAAAAAGATCTACCCATTGCCCAAAGTCATAATTCTGAATGACATCTTTTATATCTGGTGATCCTTAATCACCAGTGACTGCAACCCAAGCCAAGATTTTTAGAGCTATGTTCCGCATGTTTTTGTTTTTTGGAGTGTAGGAGGGGCAGTACTTTGTTCTTTTCAGTATAGCTTATCTTATATTAAAGACAGTGTCAATGTATACTGTCTTTATTGAATGAAAAAAACTCTCTCCTTAGGACCTAGTTTCAGCTTTCTATGATCAAATTACTGTTTGTGTAGGTCTAGACCAGCGATGCTCATAGTTTTGGCTCCAGAGGTCTTGTACCACCCTGGCTTGGCCACCAGGAGCCAGGATCAGGCCCTGCTTCACCTTGTATACCAGGGCTGTGTGAAACGGAAGTGTTCCGTTTTGACCAGCATTTCATCAGAACAGTGTTTTGTTTCAGCTTTTGTTTCGAGTTGAAACGGCTGTTCCGTTTCGTTCCGTTGAAATGCTTTGCTGTTTCGACGTTTGCTCATAGGATATGATGGGGAAGGTCGAAACAGGTTATAACTTTGTCATTTCTGGCCAAATTTGAGTGAAACTTGCAGGAATGGTAGCCCCTTCTGAGGGCATGAAGTGTGCTGAGTTTCAAGAAGATCAGTGCAGGGGAGTTCAGAGAAGCTGCACCCCAGAGTCTTGAGAGAAACTCATGTCACTTGTATGTGTTAAGCCACAGCAAGGTCAAAACTGCAGGGATGGTAGCCCCTGCTAAGGCAACAAAGCCTGCTAAGTTTCAAGGAGATAGGTGTAGAGGGTGTAGGGAAGTTGCACCCCAAAATCTTGAAAGCATGAAAACTCATGTCATGTGTATGTGTTAAGCCACAGGAGGGTCAAAACTGCAGGCTTCCTGCTCACGAACTCCTGGAAGATTGTTTCGGGCTTATTTCAGGCTCAACGTTAGGAAAAACTACTTCACAACTAGGGTGTCTAGACTGTGACCATTACCCCTAGTTTTCCCCAAGGGTGCCCTAGTGAGCAGTTGTTCACTGAGCCCTAGATGTACGCTTCTGATGTAGCGGTA